GTACCTTCCATTTAGATTTATTTTCTCTGGCTTATTTATTAGCATAGGTCACCTCTATTTTCCAACTTTCATTAGCAATTATACATCATTAATGCTCTCCTTAAGTGCTATCATGAAATCTTTTCCGATTGGACAACTTTTTGGTTTAGCAGTAAATTTGAGATTGAAGTTTTAGGCCAGCTTTTTTATGCTCCGATCTACTATATTGATGGGAAATAATTGTTATAGATACTAAGAGTAGCTGGGTTTCGATGTCTCTCCTATGATAAAATTGTTGGGGAGACTATCATTTCACATGAATATACATGATAAGGAGATTTGAAGGTCGATCTTACCAGGAGAGGATGGCTGCCTCTCATTGTACTGAAGCCGTTTTGCTTTTATAAGACGTTCAGATTGATGCAGTCCACGATACATCTTCTCTTGCTTCTGATGAAAATGCTTTAAGCTTTCCTATATAATATGATAGGTATAATCAGAGCTAGGACTTATTTTTGTGAATGTCTCAAATTTCCACTAGCTAGAGGATAATAACAATTATACTAAAGAGCTGAAACGGCTGAAATATTTATTCCTGGATAATAAGTATATTTTGGCCTAATTGAGAATAGTATCTTTTCACTGAGAAATAAATTTTTAGACGGATTCTTTTTAGTCAAAGATAGTCAAAGATAGACAAGCTGAGAGCTTTTATCAGTTTCTACTTTTTCCTTCGTGACTTCTTCCTAAGAAGATAGGCCAGCTAGTGATAAATGGGGGGATAAAAATGTGTTCGAAGAATCCCTCACACTTTCTGCCGTTATACTATCTTTTAGAGAGAAATATGATCCAATAGCGAGATCCGACTGCTTTTGCGTTCCTGTAATTGGGCCTATGTTGTTGAGACATGTTGGCCTATCCGTTAAATATTAGAACACAAAAATGCATGTAAAAGCAGCTGGGTCCAGCAGTCAGTGCACATGACAGACTGGACATGAGATAGAATGGTCTCAAATACGTAGGTTTGCTCATCAAAGTACGTCTATTGTTAAAAGGAAGATAATAGAAGCATTGGAAATTAATAGATTACGAAATACGTTGGATCTGAAGAGCACTTATAGGAAGTTGAGTAACTACTTATGCTTAATAGATTGAGGAAGTGAGAGGATGATTCGAAAGAAGGCGATTCAACTTTTCTACTCAGTGATGCTTCTAACTTCACTCACATTTGCCCAACATGTAGACTAAGGTCATCAACCAAACCAAGCTTACAAGATTATGCAATCCCAATCATGCCTTTCCTTGCGTCGTTAAACCTCAACCAGAGTTGCTTACGCACTCATGCAGTCTCAGTCATGGTTTTTTCTTGGATCTTTAAGCCTTGACGATCCGAGGCCGATATTAGTCTTTTTTACTCACTTTGATTTAGGGCCGGTATTGTGTATAGATTTTAATACACAGACATACGCACGCACGCACACTCATATAAAATTAGCATGACTACTATTAAAGTGAGTTAGTAAAATAATTCTATATTTGTCCATATTTAAAGCTTTTCGTTTTTTAGTTATGAGGTTATATAAAACGTAAGATAGAGCAGCACATTGTTCTTGACATACTGTTAATTTGAGACTAATACGAATGAGTTCTAGCTTTGCTGATGTCAATCATATGACGGACTAATGTTTAGTCCGTTTTCTCCCGAATGAAGGCGAATGCTTTGTGAACTGCATCAAGTTGACCATCGTATTAGAGCCAAACGGCTGCAGTACAACGAGAATCAACCATCGTTTTCTGATGTGACCCATCTTTTACTCTTTTATCATGCACTTCTATACGAGATAAAATCTCAATAATTATGTTATACAGAACAGTTTAAATCTGATAAGAGATTCCTTTAAAGACCTTAACATCTAGGTTTTTGTTTAATGACTTTAATTTAATTTTGTCTGGCTAGCCTGATTTCACCCTTGCAATTCCATCATTATTGCAGGTAATTTGTGAAGCGTCTATCTCGTACTTTTTTGTCTGAGTACAGCCTTGCGTTCTTTCATCATTGAACCGCCAGGTCCCTAATCTCTACTTTGTTCCTGAATTATAGTCTAGGTTTTTTTGAGAACAATTGTGTTTTACACCAGGTTACATCTCATCTAGCTTATTTTACTTGCTACAAAGTAGCAAGCTTAATTTTTGCGAATGCATTCAAATTACAGTCCCTCTACACGAATGCATGACTTACATGATTATGTATAGTGTACAGGGTGCACCCTGTTACTATCCCTGTAAGAATAGCCAATTCGCGAGAAACCAGACAATTATCGTGTTCGACTTTACCCGCATTTAATTAACTTTATTCTTTGTTCTGACCTCTTACTTATTTTTCTATAGGGTCGTGTCCTCACCCTGAAGTTAAAGTTGCACACCTTTGAGGTTCGCACTCGCCAGCAGCCGCTTGTTGATCTTACTGACCAGGCTGAAGTCATCGCCGCCTGTGCGGTCGACTTGCTACGAGAAGAGATCCGTCTGGCCATTGAGCCTAAGTCGTCAGTTCCGCCTGACATTATTACCAGATCGGCTAAAGCTTCAGCTAAGGTAACTTTTGACACAGTGCCTAGTCTATCTTATATTAATCTTTGAATAACTCACAGGTCATTCAGCTAGAGAAATAGTCATTTCCAAGACACTTCTCCATTAGATAAGCAGTAGTATTAATAAATCAATTTATTATTTTTATTGCATATCATAAAACCGGTTTTCTAAACGTTTACCTTATTACGCTTTTGATTTCCTGCAAATATCTAACTTGCTCTCAGTAAAATACAAAGCTATAACGACTTGAAGCCGTAATGAGTAGATCTAAAATGGCCTTTATTTTTATCATGACATTCTTCGGAAATGTGAGAGCGAGAAAAATGCACTGAAGAGAATTATCATTATCCTTCTGCTTTCTCACTTCTAATGTCAATAAAGCTTGTCTGCTTCTTAAATTTTATAAAAATAATGATAAATATTTTAGTTTTTTGTCCACACTTGCGTCCTATTGGTCTCTACTCACAAATTGTCCGCTATGAGGCCCTTCATTCATTAGGCGTTTGCGTACAATTATCGGCTTTACTATTACTTTTATGTTCTTATTAAAGAGCTGAGTCAACAGGCGAATTTTATTTGGCATTGGAATCAGCTGATATTTTATTAATGTTTTGGTGTGAGTTAGATTTTAATCACAATTTATTGTGAGTAATGTCTAATATTTTCGTATTTTATCCATAATGCTTTTATGCGCGGAACTGATCTTTTGAGGCCTTTTTTAATCCTCAACTAAGCCATATTCTATCTTGTTGGATCACTAGCTGTCTAAAATGTCTTAGTTAGAGAGATTATATAATAATTTAAAGGCTTCTTGTTCCTCTAGTAAAAACTAGTCTTTCTTTTATCTATTTTTGTGCTATCACAAAGTAAATCCGAATGTTCAAATCCGTAGAAGGAATCGTTTTTGAGGAATTTATGTAGTCATTATTACTTACTCCGCCAGTTTCTATATTCTTCCATCTCCGTCTTTAGAAATATTAAACACAAGTTCTATAATTTGGAATCTGAAAACGAATTGATACAACCTGATTTTATCACCTTATTGTTCACATTTAGGAAGGCTTTTGCTAACTTTTCTATAATATATGGTTGCTGAGCCTGGATCTACTGATCCAAGCCCCAATTTTTGCCAAATTTCGATATTGACAAACAGTTTTACTATTTATTAGCGCAAGATAAATCTTTTCCTTGACGCACTCATACGACATTTCACCTTCATAAGTTCTCTTTTTCTTCAAGTCATATTTTATGCGAAAATTCTTCAAGCTCACTTTACTCTTAATCGGGTCGTCACCACCCCAACTCAGAAAGTACGCCTGTAGTCATCACACGTCATTGCAGCGTAGTATCTACGCTTCATCATCCAAGCTCACAGACACACATTCTGATTTTTCAGCAATACCATTATTCGCATTGCCCTCTTGCATCCTGGATAGCATTGTTGAAATCTTTGTTTATTTACATATTAGTTTTTAATATTTTATAACTTCTTTCTGAAATCTTTTGTTTGATCCCCTTCGAACTTATCTGGAATATTCGAATGAGACTTTCTTACATAACACTAAGAGTCAGATCACTAAGTTAAGTTGCTCTTGTGTTTTTCTTCAATAGCTCTATTCAATTTGGCAATTATCTTTAGTCATTTCATGTAGCTTCCAGGCCTTGGATTTGAAAATCTTTCGAAGCATTTTGGTATGTTAGATGCCTGTCGCCTGTTTCGCTCTATTAATGTTCACCGTATATTTTTATACATTCGTATGTACCAATCAAACTCCAAAGATCTTCCGTTGCAAGGTTTTGTCTCAGTTTCAATTAAAATTGAGGGCGAAACTTCTCATGCTGGTGATAGCAGGCGATTTTATAAAGGATACTATCCTCAAATTATAAAGTACTTAACCCTTGTAAGTAATCGTATTTACGGAAAGTAAGTTTCGAAATATCTCAGATGATATTGCTGCTATGACTCACTTCATGTATAAGTCCCCGAGGGTGAGATTTTTAGGACGATCTAACCAGAGGACGATACCTGATTTTCGTTACCTTACACTCTTCTTATTTTACTGCGACATTCAGCCTGATCTAGTCACGAGAAATCCTCATTGTGTTAGTGAAAACAAGCTGAGCTTTCAGCCATCATACTAGAGATATCATCAAAGCTGGAATTTATTTTTGCGAAAGCGAATGATTTGCTTAACTTTTTTAATATTTTGTTCTAAGTACTTATAGTTGAGGATATGTGCGCGCGTGTTAGCATCGGTGCGCATTTTAGTCAGAATATGAAACTCCGTTCATAACTCAAAGTAATTAAAATACAAGTGGTTTGGCATCATAAGCTCTGTATGAGAAAAGTTCGACTGTATCATTTAATTGCGATAAAATTCAGCCGTCAGTCCTTAATCAATCTTTAAGGAGCTAGGATAACTTGACATTTGGTTTAACCTCGTTCAGTGAACTTTGTTGAGTTTCTAAGGTTTCCTAGATGCCCACACACCTTGTCCGAAGTCCTCTGATGATATATTTACGATACTTTTCAGTACTGAACCGTATACTCGATACATTCACATATGTTTAACTAGCATCGGTGATAATTCTTGCCACTCCTAGCACAAAGCTGCAATTCGCCAGAAACCAACATAGAAGCCACATTATTTTGTTCTTATTTTTTTATTATTTACCATAGAGCCTAACACTAGTCCTGGTTCATCGAGGTTCAATACCCTTAAGAAAAACACGATCGGGATTGTGTAATACCGTAGGTTTGGTTGTGTTGATGAGCTTAATAGAACTGTTAAGCAAATGTGAGCTTGACTATACTCATCACTGAGATGGCTATTTAAGTCACCCTCT